TCATGTATAAGGGTGTACTAGAACAAAAAAGATCACTGAGGAGAGAGATGTAATAATGTACTAAAGGTGATTTGACGCGCGTTACGTCAACACACTACGCCTGTTCTGCGAACGCTGCAACAAAGTCTCACCGGAAAATAACACCGGTCGATTCGCGTGTGGACCACGTATTTAGTAGGACAGATTACGTCGTAGAACCTATACGTGTGGACCACTCCACCCTACCTAATAGAGCCGTTTTCCTCTTCACGAGTGATAGTGTCGTAAAAAAATCTTAAACACTTGTTATAAACTCTCTTACCAATAAAACTTATCATACATCTTTTCTTACAAAATCTAGGAACTCAAGTAGAGTACTTTTTACCCCGGTTTTTTTTTCACAACGTAAAGTATAAATAGAACAAGTCACGATATATGTCTTATACTACCACACATATTTAACCCAGATATTTTACACCCCTCTATCACTTTGTTACACCTAGTCAGCAGTTCGGGTTGTATTTTTCTTTTTATCAATTTTACACACACTAAGTAGTCTACATCAAACGGCTGACCGAGACCAATAATTAAACTTAATTAAACTCAATTAGCACAGTCGAGATTAACAAACTTCTTCACAGGGCCCGTGTAGTTCAAGGGACGTCTTGGAACCCTCTTCTCAGATTGTCGAAGAACACCGTATAAAATCCTACACTTCTTACACGACGAAAAGATAAAAAGGACACGCGTATAGTAAACACTTACGAGTACCTTTCCACACTCGCTACCGAGTGAATGTTCAGACAAGTACGACATCTACATCGTAAATTTTTCCGACGTAATAATAATCTCTCATTTATTGCACCTATGTTGATGACTCGTTGGTACAGGATCGTCTTAGGTGTGTGGTAAACCTAAGTCACTTAATATATATTCACTTAGTAGTGTATAAGTCTTACATCCTAACACTACCTATCCTATACTACCAACACACACTACACATCTAATATACATCTACACACACAACACACACACACACTACAATCACTACAACCTACCTACACAACCAGACATCTACATCAACAACTAACTATTATACTAACAACTATCATGCGTACTATGTATCTGTGTTTATAGGAATATAATTATTAGGGTGTGTCCTGACAAGTCTTAACAGGTCTAATTAACTCTATAAGCTTTCAAGTAGAGAAGTCAGTTCCGAGACCATATACTACTCACATCTCCTCCTCCCCCCAATGAGTCTGTACATTCCTCATTAGGTTGTTCGTGAAAATTATAACCTCGCTGCGTATATCCTTTGTGGTGAGTGGCGTCTGACAACGAGAAGCATGTTTCTTCCAGCAAAGTCATGGACGAAAGAGTTAACGTCGAGTCGTCCCCTTAATAGTGTTGGGTTTCCTTACTGTTGGAAAATAATAGGAGACGTTTCCGGTAATCGACGACCACCCCCCCAGGGTTCCCTTGTCTACTAGTGCGGGATCCTCCGTGGCCCCCCGTGTACGATCGCTCATGATACCACGGGTGTTACGATGTAGTACTTGTTGTTAGAGCACAATTAATTTACACGATTATCGACGTTCGTCCTTGTCAGGACAACCGATTTATTGACTCGTTGTCCGCTGAGATTACCTGCCAATTTAACTCAAATGTAAAACTCCTACACAAGTTCTATAAAAAAGTCATTTTTTACACATAAACTGCGCTTCAAATTTATACTTTGATGGGACGTAGCCGGCGAATATAGAACACACACACACACACACACACGCCACACACACACACACACACACACCACACACACACACACACGACACACACACACACACGGCGGGAGTCTTCGACCGTCAAGAAGGTCCTCCTCTTTTTGTTTCTCTAACCCAAGACGCAGTCTCTTAGTTTCTCAACCTTCTCTTGGTCGGCCACAGCTCGCGAAAGTCGCTGTGCGGCCGACTTCTTCTCCTTCTTAGATCCAACAAGTCGTTCGAGGTGTCCACGTACGTAGAGGAGTGGTCCCCTGATTCGTTAGAAGGTATAAAAACATATATAGCCAAAGTAAATGTTCTTTTTGGTCAAGGACATCTCCTACAACTGCATGAAAGGATGTATGCGACACACAACACTAGAATTCGCCTCTACGACGTCCACTCGCC